TTGGGACTCTATAAATATCAACTCTAATAAGATTTTAGAGAGTGTGAATTCTGATATTTCCATTTTTTCCCTTTTTTTTTTTTCAGAATTTTTGTCGTAGCAAGGGCATTTTCGTCTTTTGCCTTTTTGCGTATTGGACACTATAGAGTGTGCCAGTTGTGCTAGAGAGTTGATTGGGGCGTTTTATTGAGTTTATGACTCTTTGAAATGTAAGGGTGGTCATTTTGGCATTTTTTTTTATTTTTCGGGCTGGACGATCCCATGTGGGACCCGTTACCGGAATTGTTGCTTATGAGGACTTTGGTTGAGTCCATTTGCATCTCATGCATTTTGTTTAATGTGCTTTATTTGGGTTTTCTATAGTTGTGTATATATATATATTTGTGTGATGCAAAAAAGAAAAGAAATAAAAAAAAATTAAAAGAAAAAAGGGGTGGGACCCACATCATTGTTTTAAGATGGGGTTAAAGGCATTTTGGCCTCATTTTCTTTTCCTCTCTCTTTCTTCTTGTAAGTCCCTCTTTCCCCCATTCTATTTTTTTTTTCTTTTTCAAGGTTCAATTCTTGATTTATCCCTCAATACTTAGTATTTTTGAAAGCCGTTTACGGCAAATTAAAGATCACGGCGAGATCTACAAGTTGATCGTAGCAATTCATAGTTTGGTGTACTCTAGGGAATTCGAGATCTAGGGCAAATTTGGGGTTTTTGCTTAATTTTAGGTAGGGGTATCTAATCCTCACTTTCTTGTACCTTTGTGAGTTTTTCTATTATAATTGTTGTCAAATATGTTTAATTTGAATTGATTGTCTCATAAACGACTTAATTGTGCATATGAAACATGCAATTATGTGTATTTGTTGATTTATATGGAAAACATACCTAATTGTTAATTTTCTATACCTATTGTGTTCGTTAAATTGTTAGAACTCGTTAGATGGAAGCATGCTATTGGTGTAGTATAAAATCCCTTATTGCTCTAGCATTGAAAACATGAGACATACATGCATACCATGTGGCATGAATGAAGGGAAATGATTTGAAACAAATGAAAAAGAGATTTTGGGGAATTGTTTTGATTAAAGTGATTTTATGAAAACCCAGTCGTCGCGGAGTCACCAAAGGGGCGGTGTGTTAATGTAACCTAGAGAGAATTAGGGGAAACACCCTAGCGTGGTTGAGCTAGCTGGGCCCAAATGAGGCCGCGGGGGTACCAAGGGTCAGGGACAGTAACCAATCTTTCTCTCGTGTCACTGCGGGTTATATTAATATTTTGTGAAGTAATGGATGTTTTTGAAAATGGGGAGTGACATACATGGCATTGTATTCATGACACGATATTTACTTGTATTGAACTTAAGATGGTTGTTGTGTTTTTTCCCGGTTTAGCATGATCCTGTTCCCTATCATTCAATTCATTGTTTGGATTCACGGGGTTACAAGAGGCGTGTCTTAGGCACCACCTAATGAGCTTTACGCTCACCCTATCATTTAACATTTTTCAGGACCCGGGAAAAAAGTAGTTGATGCAGACCCTTCACAAGCATGAGAACGATTAGGAGTTTTTTTTTTTTTTTTTTTGTGCCTTTTGTATATTGCTATTCTTTTGTAAAGTCTCAAAACTGTAGTAAAATGTATTTATTTTGCAAACCATAGCCATGTATTGTAATTATAACTTTCAATGGTATTTTGATGCAATTTGAGACTATGTACGATATTTCGTGATGAATGGAGAAAGAAGTTATATTTTGATCTATATTGATGCCATCCAATTGTGCCGTGAACTCAGAAATTGACTGCTTAGTAGGTCTGGTATAGGTTGAGTATGTAAGAAGTACAACCATAATGCATTTTCAGTGTGTTGAGTCCCAGGAAGCTTGTTTCGGCCGGTTGACCCTCACTATCAGCTGACTGAAACTCCAGGTTCGGCGGACCAAACCCCCACCATCAACCGACCGACAGGTTACAGTAGAAAGTCTCGAGAGCATGTAGATTTTGAGATCATTTTAGCCGGCTGACCCTATTGGTCAGCCGACTGATCTTGCTTTGTCAGCCAGCCGATCAAGGGCCATCAGCCGGCTGATCCTTCTCTTTCCACGTGCTTCATTTGAACCTCCCTGTAAGGCTATTTCTTAAAGTATTTTTGGACCCCGGTTTGACTAGCGGGACGGCTTTGGACACAGGAAATGGATGGTATGACCTAGTTGACCTCGGGTTCGGACCCTGTTAACGGTTCGGACCCCCGGGTTCGGATCGTTACATGAATGTTAGAGATAAATTTGTGCAAATACAAGAAAGAGCAATTGAGAGAGATTGAGAAAAAATTCTCCATTATAATTCTTCATCTTCTTCATAGTGAATTTGTTCAGTGTGCTCCATAGACGTAGCCCAAATATTTGGGTGAACCATGTATATATTGTGTTGTTGTGTGTGATTTTTTTTTTTTTTATTCTTCGTGATTGCTTATTTATTCTTTGATTAGTGTTGTTTATTTTGCGTTTCCGCCACAACAACTGGTATCAAATCTGGTTGATTGTGCAGTGCAACTCCAGCATAGTGCTTAGCCAGAGGGACACGTGCCCCGGCCTTTATGGCTCTGTCCCTGGTCATATATTATCAGGGCCGGTTTTGGGGCAAGGTGACCAAAGCGATCGGTTCTGGGGCAAGGTGACCAAGGCGGTCAGTCGCCCAGAGCCTTTAATTTGGAAGAGCCTTAAATTTAGTATCATGATGTAATGTAGTAGTATATGCCTGAAATATCACTACTTTCCATAATTGAATGTAACTAATCTTTTAATCAATTAAAAGACAATACACAATCATATAGATTATAGATTATGGCAATAAATAACTTTCAAAAAAAATTATGACAATAAACACGTACTTATAATATCAATTTACACTTGTAAGACAATAATTTGTATGTTTATCTTTATCCCATTTCTTCAAAAGAAAAAGAAATTTTTTTATTTAAACAAGAAACTGATTTATTTTGTTATTATGTGAATTCTGGGCTCACGTGCATGCATGATAGTATGTTAAGCCCAGTTCAAACAATCAAATCATGATAGTTAAGACTAGTTCAAACAATCAAATTTTTAACCTAGGATGCAATCAACTGTCAAATTTTTAACTCAGCCCAGTTCAAATAATCAAAATTTTAACTCATGGATGCAATCAACTGTCATAATTTTAATTCAGTCCAGTTCAAACAAAAAAATTATGACAGTGATTGGAGTACTTTAATTTATAATTTTACATTTCAAAATGTAAGACGGTCACACTTACTTTGATATGAAGATGAATTTTGTTTTTTGTGACTAAATCGTGTTGAATATTTAATTTTTTTTAATATAAATTGGATTGTGCTTTTTATAAAGCGGCGAGACTGATTTTTATTTTTTGTGTTTTCAACCTTAATATATTTTATATGCTTATTGTTTGATTTTAATATAAATTTCGCACTCATATAATTTTTTAGTTCATGTGAAACTTTATGTACAAATGTCTCGCATTTAGAAATTCGCCTAAAACCTCTCAAAACCTTAATAATAACAGAGCCAGCCCTCAATATTATTGATATCGACATTTTGGACTACTTACAACTTTTATTTACCATACATAACTTTCTTGTTTTCCAAAAGAAAGTACAAATCCGACCATGAGTCAAAAACATTCTAGTATAATTTTCATGTTTTTACAGTTTGACACGGATGTTCCTTGATAGAGAGAACATGTATTCTCTATTTGTTTGCAGCACCCTTTGTTTACGTCCTTCACGTTTCCCATCATTGGCCGTTGACCAAAAAAGCCGGGAACGGACTCATCTAACGGTCCGAATCTTGTCACGACAGCGCTTTTTTTTTACTTTGTGGATACGTTTCATAGCTTTGTTTATGCCACTGCTAAGAGGCTCAAACCATTACAAAACCCAAATATAATATTTAAGTACAATTACAACACTACCCCTGCTACTCTTTAATTACAACTTCAAATCTTTTTGTTAGATGCCTTTATCCATTCTAAGGATGGAATCGTATTTATATGTTTGACGTTGCCATTTGTTATGACTTATTAGGTAACTTGGTTCACCAAACTAGAGTGGAAAACTAAAATGACAAGTTGTTGTCCTTGGATGAATCACAGTTCCAGTAATAAGGCTACATGTTAACCACTTGTTCTCTTTTTAAAATTTTATTTTGGATGTTTTTCTCGTTCCATTTGGCAGTAATATTTTAAGAACAGTTAAGCGTAGATTTGTTGCATAAATTGAGTTTATAAAATTGATATCGACTTCATCTCGGTTTCTAAATAAAGTAATAAATTGAAATTGTTCTTTAAATGAGATATATTTCAAGAAACGTGACTAAAATTATGCTTATTTTACTTCAAGAATTAGAATAGAGAATTGATGCTGTTAAGTACACCTTGTTCAAAACTTATTTACTTAAAAGAATTCATACATCCACCACATCTAACAAATTTTTTTTCTTTTTGCTATTTTATGGTTTTACCCATTAATTTTGTTTTTTTTTTTTAATTATATATTTAAAATTTTTTGAGTTCGTCTTCACTATGGTAACATTATTATTATTTTTTTGTTTAAAAAATGTCTCCTCTCACATACTTTTTTGGTCAATTCCTATCTAACAAACAACTAATTTCTCTTATTTATTTATTTATCAAAGTAATTTCTCATATATATATAAATTTTTGTGCCATCGGCCAAAAATTTATACACACCACACTTTGCTTTTTTAATGACTCAAATCTTCATTATTCACTTTAAAAGATAGAGATAATATCATTAGGTTACAAACCTGGTTAATTCCCCGTATCCTCCAACCCAGAAATCAAACATAAAAAACTCAAAATTAATGTTGTGTATTTATAATACAGTTGCTTAGCGTTAGCGTATTTGTCGACATTAATTGCACAAGGTTATATGGGTCATTTTAGTTCAAACCCCGTCTACACTGTGATAGGTTCTACAAGCGACATTTGTATTTTTAAACAAGTAAAACTTTCTCTCTCTTCCATTTCTGCACTCTTTCTCTCTCATTTCTGCATTGGAATTTTGAGAATTCGTCGAACTTCCAACAGGCTTGGGCTTTGGAACATCTAGGGTTTGTTGTGTTAACAAAGCACTCGGTGAGCTTCTGACCTTTGCTCATATCTCTACTGTAAATGTGCTCTAGGGTTCAAATTCTTGTTTCTCTGTGTTGTTTTTTTAATGGTTGTCCTGTATTTCAAAGCTGTTTAAGTCTTTGCTTTCTATATTTTCGTACTGTTTTACTTTATGTTTTACATACACGCTGTTTATGTGTGTTGGGGTGTGCCCGTATACATGCACACATGCACTGTTATCTGAATTTTCTGTTTCTTGTTAATTTATTTATTTTAAAATGTTTTAAAATTAACTTTTTCTGTTTGATTCTAAAGAAATAATCTGGAAGGTGTCTTTCAATTTTTGTTTCAAATGATTGGTGTGTGTATGTCAGAAATGTTGCCAAAAGTTGACTAATTTGGTGTAAAGACTATGGCTTTTTGTGGGTTCTTAGGATTTTTAAATTTTAAAGCCATGAAACAGAGAGGCAACATAACCAGACTTTGATGATGAAAAGAACAGATTTAGGTGTCCTGTAATCCCAATTCTTATTTTAATAAAGAATTAGGTGCCTGAAAAATAAATTGTGAACTTTTTACTTTAGATAATATGACAAAATCAGTCAAATGATTTTGTGTTTTTTCTTTTTTTAAGGATTAGATTTTGACCTGGTATGATCTATAAAGCCTTATAGGCCCGGTTATGGGGGGATGGGGCTGGTCGAACAAATTAGCACCTTACCTTGGCCAGTTGTGGTTTTAAAAGACATGTAACGACAAGGTCTAGCATGCTAAGTTGTAGCCGGCTATACTGTGGGGACACAGACAGGTTGCAAGTGCAGATGTGACATGGAGAAGGCAAATCCTAATGAAGGATGAAGAATTAAAATTTATGTGTTGCAATGCACGTATTATATTCCATTCGGTTGAATTGTGTAGATATTTTTATTACCAGCATATTCGTAGTTTTGTATATTTTTTTCTTTCCTGTCACCAACTATAGTCTTTAATTTGGACTAATTTGGTAGTGTGAATTTTCATTGTTGATTAGCTAAGAGGCTGTTATATTAACAAGACTATATTTCCTAATCTAAAGTAAATCACTTTGGTGCTGGGAGAATGTCTCCTGCTTTCCTTACTTCTTTGATGGGAGTTGTTATTATCATTTATGATTTTTCGATATAGAGCTGACCAGTGACTTTAAATTGATGAAGGGGGCTAGGATGACATGGCTCGCTGCGTTGCAGAAGAAATGTGCAAATAACATCTGATAGAAAAAATTGATCCTCGTTCTTGAAGTAGGATGGCAACTGAAAGCCCTATGAGAATGGTGGAAGGCAGTGGAGCCAGAAAGTGGCCCTTTTCCAAGGATGCTGCAACATTTGCATCACCATTGAATAACGCAGCAGAAGATGAGTTGGGATTGCTTCTGAAAGAGCACAGATTTAACAGAGATCAACAAAACATGGTTCCAAATCGAAGTGGTAGTGCACCTCCAAGTATGGAGGGTTCATTTGCAGCTTTTGGGAACCTTATGGTTCAACAGAACTATAGTTTGAGTTCAAGCTTAGCGGGTTTAAACAGTGCAATTGAAAATTGCGAGTCTGAGGAACAGCTGCGCTCTGATCCAGCCTATTTTGCCTACTACTGTGCAAATGTTAACTTGAATCCGAGGCTTCCTCCACCCATTATCTCAAGGGAGAATCGACACCTGGCACGCCAAATTGGTGGTTTCGACAATAATTGGAGACTAACCTCTTTTGATGACAGTGGCAATGGATCCTTGCACTTGTCGACTCACAACGAGGAGCCCGAGGATGATAAGTCACCCCAACAAGCTTCAAATGATTGGGAAGAAAGTAGTAGTGCACTCATGCCCGGACAGAGTGCATCTTCTTTGTCAGGTTGTCATAAAAGTTTGGTTGATCTAATTCAGGTACAGAACTCAAGCTAAGTTGTCTATTCATTTTATTTTATCTTTTTGTTGCAGAGCACCTCAGTGGTCCACCTTCCAAATTGCATTTTCCTCATTAATAACCATTTTGCTTGAGATATTGGCATATTATTGTACTCAACATCTTGAGATATTGGCATATTATTGAAAGTTGTGAATACTATTGAGCCTATAGCTCACGTGGTATCTCCTCACCCTTTAATAAGGAAAGTTGAGGATTCAAGTTCCCTAAGGGGCAGTAGTTAGTGTGTGTGTGACTTGCCTACGAAAAAGATTGTGAATTATAAATTATTGTCCCATATTGTTCTCCTAGGAAAGGTAAAAAGAGACCACTGCACTGTATTTTCACTGCAATGAGTGAGATTATAACAAATTTAATCTAATATCAATGGGTAATTTCATGGATAAAATTATTACTTCTTGTTGAATCTGTTTGGAAATGTACTACCTCCATAGAAGGGTAAGTTGGATTATTTTCCCACCGTTCATGTTAAATTTTGGGGAATCCTTATCAATTTAAGTCTACTACTATATGGCGCATATAAAAGATGATCCTGACGTATGATACAAATTCAGTAGGGTTCACTGGTTCAGTGTTTATTTTTTCCTTACTACAACTCAAGAATCCAGTGTTCTCGGTTTCTTTCTCATGATTAATCCAAATCAGCATTCTTTATTTTGATGTTGAGCTATAGCTACTTAAAGAAGCTCTCTCCAGCAAAAATAAATATTTATCTCGATAAGATATAATATCAAGGATTTGCATTGTTAGGGTCTTCATTTATCTTTCCAAGTGTTTTAGAGTTTCTATCTGAGTAAGATACCCTAAAAACTATAAAGGTTATTGTCTAGTGCCTTTATTGTTGATCTAGGTTATTGGGAATTGAGGACTAGGTGTAGATCTAACCTTTGCCTTTAGTGTACTAGCGTTGTCCATGTATAGATCTTGAGACTTGAAACCATAACAAGATCATCAGATTTTTTCCCCAATCATACTAAATGAATCAATGAAGTCAATGAAGTGATAAATCAATACATGAAAGATATAAATTTTACTTGCCAGAAAAGTAAAAAAAAAAAAAAAAAAAAACAAAGAAAAAGGGGCAAACCCAGTGCACGAGGGTCGCAGCACTGCGGGGTTTGGGAAGGGTTAAATGTATGCAACCAAGGGCATGCGGAGAGGCTGTTTCCTTTTTTCGAACCCGTGACCTCCAGGTTATAATGGAGCAACCTTACCATTGTGCGAAGGATCACCCTCGCCTGTTAGAAAAGATGTGAAGATATATGTGTGTAGAGATTTGTGGCTAGTTCATTTGTTATAGTGTTAGTGAATATGGATATGTGAAAGTTGGATAGTCGTTAATACCATGGACAGCATATAAGCCTTTATCAATCTGTAATTTTTTTGTTGAAATTTGCAATCTTTAGATTCTTTTGTTTTGATGTTTATATTGTTGTATTGCTACTGGATGCCTCTAGTGCGATGTGTAGTTTCGATCCCCCTCTTCAGGAGAAAGAATGATTTTTATATATTGCTTTTGTTTATTCTTAAATAATATTTTGAAGTGAATATGCTGGCCCAGGTCTTCTGAGATTTCATAAAGTGAGTTGAAAATTTCATTATTTCTAAATATTCCCCTGATTTTTGCAAAAGTTGTGAATTGCTTTGTAGAATATTTCCATACTGTAAGTTCTGTGGTAATTCTCTATTGCAAGGTAAACATTTTTCTGTGTGTCTAATTTTATAATCTTGTACTTATATGCATGCTTATGAATATTAATCATCGTTAGTCTACAGAACCCCAGACCTATTTTGCCTTATTCTCATTATTTGGAACATTTTTCTGATGAATTTGTAGGAGGACTTCCCCCGCACTCCATCTCCTGTATATAATCAAACTCGCTCCTCAAGCCATGTTACGGCCGAGGAACCAATTGATTGTGATGTTCAAGCTGTTTCATTGGATGAGCTTTCCATCAAGATTTCGAAGTTACCAGAATCAAAATCTGACCCTGTTGATGTTGGTATGGTTACACATACTCAAGGGGCAAATGTTTGTGGGTTAAAATCCAACGATGATCCCTCAGGTACCCCTTCTCCACAAGTATTAAAATCTATTGCAATGGGATGCCCACCACCACATCAAAAAGTTGAAGTAATCAATAAGGGTGCTGATGCTGTAGATGATGAGTTAAGTGGTGCCTCTGGATCAGATGCTTCTAGAATGGGAGCACTAAATATTTCTGGCCTTCTTGTCAAAGAAGATTATAGTAATGAAAAAGAACACCAGTCTTTTGAGAAGAATGTGCAGCAGCCGCAGCATTATCCCCAACGAGGCATTACTTATCAGGTTCATGGAATGCAGGGACAAGTAGTTTCTCAAGGAGTGAATCTCTCACAGAGTGGCGTGGAAAAAGTTCTCCATAGCCACACCAATTTGTCTTCAATAGACACACAACCGGTACTTCATCCTCCTGGAATCACACCCCCTTTATATGCAACAGCAGCAGCCTATATGACTTCAGGAAACCCATTTTATCCTAATTTACATCATCCATCTGGCTTATATGCTCCTCAGTACAGTATGGGTGGGTACGCTCTGAGTTCTACGTATCTTCCTCCATTTATGACTGGATATCCATCTCCTAGTGCTATTTCTATGCATTTTGATGCCACTTCTGGTCAAAGCTTTAACAGTCGACCTGCTAGTGTTTCTATGGGGGAAAGCATTCCACACATGGGTGATTTGCAGCATCTAAACAAAATTTATGGCCAGCATGGATTAATGGTGCAACCTTCTATTGTTGATCCTGTTCACATGCAATACTTTCAGCATCCTGTAGAGGATGCATATGGTGCTTCAGTGCAGTATGGTCAGGTGGCATCTGCTGGTGTTATTGGGGGCCAAGTTGATTCTTTTGTTTCACAAAAAGAGTCTTCTGTTGCTGGCTATATAGGTGATCGGAAATTTCTACCACCATCAAATGGAAGTCTGAGTAATCGAACTCAAAGACAAGGTGGAATCACTAGCAGCAGTTACTATGGAAGTCCCCCAAGTATGGGTGTCATGGCACAGTTTCCAGCCTCACCTCTTGGTAGTCCGGCATTGCCTGGATCTCCAGCGACAGGGACAAATCCTTCAGGAAGAAGAAATGACATGAGATTTCATCAAGTTCCTGTTAGAAACTCTGGAGTATATTCTGGATGGCAAGGTCAAAGAGGGTCTGACAACTTTAATGACCCTAAGAAGCATTCTTTTCTTGAGGAACTGAAATCCAGCACTGCCCGAAAAATTGAACTCTCTGATATTGCAGGGCGTATTGCTGAGTTCAGGTAATTTTCTAGCTGAGCTTGTTTGTCCTTTTCCCCTATACAATGTGATTGGTGCATCATCTTCTATACTATTATATTAAACCGAAAGACATTCTCTGTGTTGCAAACTTCAAAGTTGTTGGTTATCCCCATACTTTATATTTTAAAAGCCAATATAAGAAGCTAATAATAATTGAGTTTCTTTTATAAAGGCGGACAAAAGCAAAGCAGGTAACCTCTTTTCTCCCCCTCCCCCCCTTCTCATCCCTTTTTCTCTCCACTCCCCATTCCTATGTCTCTCTCTCTCTCATCATTCTTGTTCTCTCTCAACATGGATGTGACTACACGTCACACTTTTACCACCTCCTATTATGTTGTATCTAATATGAAAAATAATTTCTCATACATGTTTAACCTCAGTGTTGATCAACATGGGAGTCGATTTATTCAGCAGAAGTTGGAATACTGTGCTGTTGAAGACAAGGCATCTGTCTTCAAAGAAGTTCTTCCACATGCTTCAAAGTTGATGACAGATGTTTTTGGAAATTACGTCATTCAGAAGGTATGATTTTGGAAGTTGCATGGTTTGATTGTATTTTTATTTTTATCATATATCGTTTTATGACCATTGAACTCCACTGGTTTCTATGTTCCCAGTTCTTTGAGCATGGGAGTCCTGAGCAGAGGAAGGAACTTGCAGATCAACTTAAGGGACAGATGTTACCCTTAAGTTTGCAAATGTATGGCTGTCGTGTGATTCAGAAGGTGTGTGTAGCTACATTAATCTTACAAATTCAAAATTGTATGTGGATAACATTTCGATTTTTGGAAGTGTGAAAATGATTTTTGTTTATATATTACCATGTGGAGAACTTTAAAAGAATTTGATATTGTTGAACTCTCCTCTTAAGGATTTTGAGCATGCTTCTTCTTACTTTGTATTTACAAAAATAGCAATATTTGAGTTTCCTACTTATTTTTAATGGCAGCATGTGTTGATATGCTTCAATACCGGAATTTCTTGTATATGCATGCCTACAACTTATATTTCTGAAGGAACGGTTGAGAAAATGCACAAAAAAATATATTTACCGAAGAAAAAAAATGCACAAAAGAATATCGAATGATGCTTTTTTTGTAAAATTAAAAGGACAATTACTTTATAAGTACTATTCTCTGTTACATTGTAAAATATGTATTAGCCATATTTACTAATTGTCACTTGTCCGAGGGGCCACTTTATTTTAATTTTTTTTATTTATAACTCATAGTAATTTGCGCTCGATATTATCTGGTGGATGGTTATCTTTTCTTGTTTTTATTTTTCAGAAGTTATTTTCTATTTATTTGAGTGTGCGGAATGGTAGTGTAAATGCTTGTATGGGTTTGTTTGATGTTTATAGATATGTTCTTGAGAGTTCAATGTGTCTGGTAATTGAATAGTAGGCACCACTTTGAATGCTACATTCATAGATTGTATGTTACTATTCACAATGCTAATAGTGTTGTGTTTATGATCTATTATGTGATGGATGTTCCTTCTAGGCACTCGAAGTTATTGAACTTGATCAGAAAACACGACTTGTGCATGAGCTTGATGGACATGTTTTGACATGTGTACGGGATCAAAATGGAAATCATGTCATACAAAAGTGTATTGAATGCATCCCCACGGAGAAAATTGGATTTATTATCTCTTCTTTTCAAGGCCAAGTCGCTACACTCTCTACTCATCCCTATGGTTGCCGTGTTATTCAGGTGATAAAATGCATTTTTTATTTGTGAAGGCATCTTTCGAATTTTCCATTAAAATGCTATTGAGCCTTTTACTTTCTCGTCTTCCTATTGTAGCGAGTTCTGGAGCATTGCTCAGATGAATTGCAAAGTCAGTGCATAGTGGATGAGATCTTGGAATCTTCTTATGTTCTTGCTCAAGACCAGTACGGCAATTATGTCACGCAGGTTGGCATTTTCTCACTTTACATTTTTTATTACTCATTAATTGTTACATTAACTTCTGCCTTGTTTTCTGAAGTTTCAATTCTTAAAATGCTGCTTGTACTTCTCAATCTGAAATCTGATAGTTGTTAAGCATCCACAATGAAAATGTTCACAAAAAACATTAGGTAACATGCTTTATTAGCAGAGAAGAAGGAGAACAAATAGAATAATTTCTTTGTGTTTTATAACATTTTTTTAATTAATTTTCTTTAGACTCTGGAAAATCCTAGTAAAAAAAAAAAAAGGCGTAAAAACTGTATTTAAAAACTAATTTATTTCGCAATCAGCTTAATCTCACATCTGATACAGGAGTTGTTAAGTATCCACAATGAAAATGTTCACAAAAAATTTTAGCTTATCAGCTTAGTGAGAGCTATTCACTTTGCAGACAAGAAGGAAAACAAATGGGATAATTACTCCGTGTTTATGATACTTTATTCTTTGATGTTCTTTTAGGTTCTGTGGAAAATCATGGTAAGAGTAAGCGTAAAAACTGTATTAAAAAACTAAGTTAAGGTTTGGGAACCTTGCCAATTTTAAAAGGAAAATAACCAGTGTGTTCCAACTTCCAACATCCTCATGATTTGTGGCGTTTCAAGTCTGACATCACAGGTTAAGACTTGTAGTTGCAATTTATTATTTTTTGCGCTCATGCATAACTGTTTAATGAGATTAATGTAATTGGTTTGTGGTTATGTCATCCTAACCCTATGGTTCTTACAATGTAAGGTTTCAATTGGTAATTACATTCCATCTTTTATTATAAGTTATTTTTCTTTTTTCTTGTTTGAAAATGCCGACGCTTACGTATTGTAATGGATGTGGGACTGTATCAGGCATAACTTAATGCAATCGTTTATCGCAGTCTTAAAATTTTCTTGATCTTGCCTACCATCAGATTTGTTAACCCAGCCAAGTCGGAAGAGACTCGGTCGAGACTCGACCGAACCCCTAGGGACTCGGCACATATCAGTGAGTATCAGGTTCAGCCGAGTCTGTTACCACTCCGCTGACATGTTGAGACTCGAGTCACTCAACCGGTATGGAAAACTATCATCCACCCCTAATTACTTTATCTCCACCATTCATATTAAATGATAAACTTTATATGTGTTGTGTGTGGTATCTTATTATAAACTTGAAAGGAAAGAAATATGGAATAAACCTTTTCTCTGTATTAGCACCCTATTCACAAGTTTACACGGATTCTCTTTATAGGAGAGAATACACGCACATAATTAGCTGGCCTAATTAATAATTTCCTAATTTACAGCATTTGACCAATATTCTATTTACAACAAATATCCTCCAAATATTATATTTACAGCTAATAATATTTGGTAGTATTACTACCGAATCTTTCCTTTTCAACACTCCCCCTCAAGCTGGTTTGAAGATACCTCCATAGCTAGCTTGCCAATTAGTCTGTCGAATTGTCTTGTAGGAAGTCCCTTTGTAAGCACATTTGCAACTTGCTTAGTAGTAGGAATGTACAACATACAGATCAATCCTTTTTTCAAGCTTTTCCTTGATGAAGTGTTTGTCTACCTCCACGTGCTTTGTTCTGTCATGAAACACTGGATTGTGAGCGATCGAAATAGTAGCTTTATTGTCACAGTACAATTTCATAGGCAACAGATTAGAGACCTTTAATTCATCTAATGGTCTCTTAATCCATAACACCTCACAAATTCCATGAGCAACTGATCTAAACTCGGCCTCTGCGCTGCTTCTTGCTACTACATTCTGTTTTTTACTCCGCCAGGTGACAAGGTTACCTCCAACAAAGGTGCAGTAGCCAGAAGTTGACCGTCTATCAATAGCACTCTCAGCCCAATCCGCATCAGTATAGGCTTCAACTTGCAAATGCCTACGGTTTTTTAACAGTGGACCTCTTCCAGGGGTCCCCTTTAGGTATTTGAGAATTCTGTAGACTGCATCAAAGTGTTCTCGTCCAGGTGAATGCATGAACTGACTAACCATGCTGACTGCAAAAGCTATATCTGGACGTGTTTGTGACAAGTAGATCAGTCTTTCAACAAGTCTTTGATATTGCTCTCTATTCATAACTTCATCATCTTTAGAAGGCTGCAGCTTAAGGTTGGGTTCAATGGGTGTCTTGGCTAGTTTACATCCTAGCAGTCCTGTCTCACTAAGTAAATCAAGAACATATTTACTTTGATTCACAAATATACCTTCTTTGGATCTAGCAAACTCCATTCCAAGAAAGTATTTTAATGCACCCAAATCCTTGATCTCAAAGTCAGCTGCAAGTCTCTTTTTCAGTCTCTCCAATTCTTCATTGTCATTACCTGTCAAGTCTATATCATCCACATAGACAATTAACACTGCAACCTTGCCTTCTCTACCGTGTTTGTAGAACATGGTATGGTCAGCTTGGCTCTGACAGTAGCCACAATTTTTCACAGCTCTCCCAAATCTCTCAAACCAAGCTCTAGGGGACTGTTTGAGACCATATAAAGATTTTTTTAGTCTACAGACTTTATCAGGTCCCAATTTTCCCTAAAACCCAGGTGGTAGATTCATAAAGACCTCCTCCTCAAGATTTCCATTTAAAAAGGCATTTTTTACATCTAACTGGTGTAATGGCAAGCTGAAATTCACAGCCAAAGATAACAAAATTCTTATTGAGTTTATCTTAGCTAAAGGGGCAAAAGTTTCCTGATAATCAATTCCATAGGTCTGGGTGAACCCTTTTGCTACTAGTCTTGCCTTCTACCTCTCTATGCTACCATTAGCTTTACATTTCACAGTAAAGACCCACTTGCAGCCTACTGTTCTTTTCTCCTTAGGTAAATCAATTATCTCCCAAGTACCACTTCTTCTAAGAGCATTCATCTCTTCCATCACTGCTAACTTCCAATTCGGATCATCAAGAGCTTCCTGAATGTTTCTCGGGACAAACAAGTGTGAGATTTTTGAGGTAAAAGCCTTATGAGTATGAGAGAGTTTTTCATAAGAAAGGTATTTGGCAATGGGATATTTTGGATTTGGATATTTGATTCGAATACCTTTCCTAACGGCTATAGGAATATCAAGGTCTGATGGTTCTTGGTTAGGAGAAACAATAGGAACTGAAGATGAGTTAGGAACAGAATTACCTGTGATATTTGGAGGTCCGGTTCCCGGAGGTTGAGATTAATCATTTCCAAGAGGAATAGGCTGACTTTGACTCTTTTGATGAGGTATTGTCCGAGTATAAACCAGAGGCTCAGTATTGGGAACTTTAGTGCTCGGTTGTAGTGATTCTTCCCCTGTTTCAGATACAGTAATGTTTGGCACTATATGACTAGTATTCCCTTCATTGTTTTCATTGGTTTTATTACTTGTTCCTGAGTTTGAATTCGGGAATAACAGTAGGATGAGGTGAAGGAGTCAAAATCACATTTGGTAAAGGAGTAGGAGATAAATCCCAAAAAATTTATTCTATCACCTCATTCTCCCCCTGAAGAGAATTTTTGGGAAAGTAGGATTTATTTTCAAAGAAATAGACATCCATACTTACATAAAATTTTCTTGTTTAGGGATTATAGCACTTATATCCCTTTTGATTAGAAGCATACCATATGAAAACACATTTTTCAGCTCGAGGATGAAGTTTGGACCGAGTATTATTGGGTATATGAACAAAAGCTATGTAGCCAAAAACCTTTAGAGGTAAATCCGAGTATATCCTTGATAATGGAAAAATTCCTTTGAAACATTCTAATGGCGTGCTATATTTTAAAACACGTGAAGACATTCTATTAATCAAATACGAAGCTGTTAAAATAGCTTCCCCCCAAAGATATTTTGGAACATTCATTGAAAACATTATAGCACGAGCCACTTTAAGTAAATGTTTATTTTTTCTTTCAGCAATTCCATTTTGTTGAGGGGTATCCACACATGTAGACTGAAGATGGATACCCTTTTCTTTCAAAAAACTCCCCAAAATTTCATTAAAATACTTGGTTCCATTATCGGTGTGAAAAATGCTAATTTTTGCTTGAAACTGAGTTTCAACCATTGTGTAAAAATTCTTAAATTTTTTTTCAACCTTCGACTTTTCATTCATCAAATAAACTCAACATAAACGGGTATGATCATCTATAAAAGTAACAAATCATTTTTTCCTAGAGATAGTAGTGACTCTTGAAGGTCCCCAAACATCACTATGTATTAAATAAAATGGTTTTGAAGAAGTATAAGGTTTTGGCAAATAAGTAGTACGATGACTCTTAGATAAGCAACAACTTTCACAATAGAACGATGAACAATCCAAACCTTTAAATAAAGTAGGAAACAAATGTTTAAGATATGGAAAGCTAGAATGTCCTAGTCTTAAATGCCAAAACATTATTTGTTCATAAACAGAGTTAGAACTAACACTACTAAGGCCTTGAGCCTTTTTATTACTGGAGAAGTCCCCATCAAAGTAGTAAAGTCCATCTATTATCTTAGCACTGCCAATCTTCTTCACCGAGATCCAGTCCTAAAATTCACAGTAAGAATCACAAAAAATTACACGACAATTAGATTCTTTGGTTAGTTTACTCACAGACAAAAGGTTACAGGCTAGTTTAGGGACATGGAGAATAGATTTAAGATTTAAATTCTCGGATAATTTTATCAAACCTTTTCCTGTAATAGGTGAGAAACTACCATCTGCAATTCTAATTTTTTCAAGGCCAGAACATGGTGAGTAAGTGCTAAAAAGATTGGAAAGGCTGGTCATATGATCAGAGGCTCCAGAATTGATGATCCATGGAGTATAATTTAAACAAGAAGAAAGGGTATTAAGTGCATTACCTGTTTGTGCAAGAAAAACACTCGGAATACCAGATGAGGAATTAAATTTCAGCAGCTTCAGAAGGTGATCCATCTGCTCCTTGCTTAAGAGACTTGTCTCAGCTTCATTAGCAGTAGGAACCGCACGCCTATTTCTGTCACCAGGCTTG